TTGTTGTGCTTCTTTTTTCACCTTTTTTTCCAATGGTGCCTCCCGCCCTCAAAAACAGCCTCCTCTATAATTTGTTATGGGACTATTGGTTCTCACTATAATTATAGTGATTATGATTATGAGTTGTTATGTGATTTTTAGTTGACGACATTGCTAATATTTGATTACTGTCCAATTTAGTAATAAGTTTTTATTGCAAAACTTGAAAGTAATAAGGTTTAAGCCAAGAACCTAACCAAATATGTGAGAGCTGCCAATGTCATTTCATTCTTGTTCAATATAGTGTTGCCTCCTACAAGTTTTTTTATTGTTTTATGTAGGTAATGTTGATTAAAAAATTTTTAAAAAAACGAAAAACAAACAGGCCTAAGTGCAAACATAACTTTCCAATGGGGATAAATATCTTTCGAAGAGGCATATGAAAGAAAGAAAGAAAGAAACATGGAGAAATAGCAAATTGGAAGAGATTTTGAGCAATGAGGATAGTGAAAAGGAGACTGAAAAGAAAACTAAAAAGGTAATAAGACTAAAGCATAAGGTTCTATATTTTGAAATTTGATTTTTTTTTCTGATGTTGCACTCTTCATTTACCATGCTCTTGCACTTCTCTATGAGAAGACGCTCACAATAAAGGGCTTGTTTCTTCAATGGTGCCTATGGCTTGTCTTTTTCATTAGACTCATGTATGAAAAGAGAGGGAGAGAAAGAAACAATAAAAGAGCATATAGAGGCTATGGGCAGAAAAAAAAAACAAGAAAAAGGCAATGAAGAAGGAAATCAAGAGGGAGAGGGAGATTTTGAATTTGAAGAAACCGGTACATTTGGATCTTCATTCTTCTTTGACTTGCTTTTCGCTGCCTTTCATGCAACTCCAAATTTCCAACAGCCAAGTTTATTTACACCAAAAATTTATTTTGAAAAAAAAAAGGACAACTTAGTCAAAGATATTGAAGACGTCCGGTGACGGAAGCGGAGAAGTTACTGACCCGGACGGGCTCAAATCGTGCAACCAAGAGAGCGTTTCTGGATTAGTTGCCGGTGAGAACATGTCCGACGATGTCCCCGACAAAGTTCCTAGTGCCGGCGATAATATGCCATGGCACTGGCTCACTTCCACACCTTCCAAGTGATCCATCATTTCATCTTCATTCTGAAACCTTTCTTTCTCAGACGGTCTCGTCTTCTCAATCGACGCCAGTCTTGCTGCCGGTGAAACATCTTCGGATCTGGCGGAAGGGGATGACATGCTGGTAAGAAGTCACAGGTAATACTAGGAGATACACAATAGATGATCATTGGCTGCGATTGCTGCTGCTGGGAAGGCCCCGCCGCCAGATGGTGGGGGTGCAGCGGAAGCGGCGGCTTTCGGATCTTGTGAGATTCGTTGCTGACGCTGAGAGGGGAGGGACGAGGGCCGAGGAGTTGGAGCTCTCTTCTGGACGGGGAAGGCGGGCCTTCACCAGTGGGATACACCGGTGGGATATCCTTCTTTCCTGTCAAGCAAAAGGAGAGATTTTGAAGTTTGAAACTGAAAAATGATGGGCTTGGAGCCGCCACCAGACTTGACACGAAAGAAACAGAAATAATGTGTTGATGGAGCTAATTATGAGGACAAGAACGAACTCGACTTCCCACTATCACATCTTTTCTTGAATTGCAAGTATAGCAGATTTGGAAAATAGGAGCAATTTTGTGGTTGAGAATAAGTCCAAACATAACTTTCCAAAGGGATAAATATCTTCGGAGCAGCATACTCCCTTCATTCAAAAATACAAAGCATATTTTAAAAAATTAGATATTAAAAAGTATAAGTCATTTTTTATTTTTTAAGATGCAATCATTGCTTTTTTTTAAAAAGTGTCTCTATTAAATAATATTCTTTATATTTATTTTAAAATAAAACACCCTATTAAATAGAGATAAATATAAAAAAAATAAGGTTCATTTAAAAATAAGTAACTATTTTATTGGGGTTGAGTTTCAATAAAAAATACCTTATATTTTTTTAACAAAGAGAGCATGAAAGAAAGAGACAAACATGAAGAAATAGCAAATTGAACGAGATTTTGATCAATGAGAATAGTGAAAAGCACATTGAAAAGAAAAGTAAACAAGATGATAAGGCTAAAGCATAAGGGCTTGTTTGTTTTCTTGTTTTAAAAATAATTTTTTATTTTTAAAAACAGAAAAAATTTAAAATTTTTTTGGATAAATGTTTTTTTATTTAATCATTTTTATTTTTTATTTTTAGAAACAAAAAAAAACAGAAACAACTTCAATTTATTTTGTTTTATTTTTTTTATTTTTAAAATACACTACATTTGATTATTATTAAAAATTATAATTACCTTGATTAATTTCTATTATTAATCATTGCCATTAAATATTTATAACTATCACTATTAATCTATTTTTTAATTTTAAAATTATTTTTAATTAACTGTACTTAATATATATACTAAGTGCCTGTATTATCTGAATTATTATGCTCTAGATCAACAGCTCAAATCAGTGCCTGTATTGAGTGCATAATCCAAATCCTGAAATAATAGAGCTTCTTTGGACATTGCTCGATGAAAATAATCTTAAAGCCATGAATGGAGCATAAAGTTGGAAACTTTAATTGATTTGGGTTGACTTTTCTTGTTGGCCAATTATACGTTCACTTTACTTTTACTTTGGAGTCGAAGTGAAGTTGGTTTTGTACCGTAAAGTTCCTTGCCCCACTGTGATCCGTTACTGATAACCGTTATCATATTTTAAATCAATATGATTAAAAATAAACTATTTACGAAGAAAACTGAAAACCCCAATACTTTATGTCATATTATTATTCTCACTGCATTTATTAAGAAATCGATTTTGGTGTCTTAATCAAGTAAATACAATGGAGGTGTAATTAAATTTATCTATATATTGGACTTATTTAGCCGTTTATATGCTGCTATATTATAAAATGAAATTTACATATATTAATTTTATATTTACACAAAATATTTTTAAAATTTGTTTCCAATTATAATATCAGTATAAAAATATACTTGTTAAATAATGATAACAAACATATATTATTACCTCCTTTTTAAGAAAAAAAATAATTTTTGGGAACATATTTCTAAAAATACAATAGTATAAAGTGAACTGGTCAAGAATCGATCAAAACCGGCCAGACTCGGTGAAAACAAGTGAAAAACTAGTCAAAAACCAGTTTCTTTATTTCTTGCAAGAAAAAATCTCAATAACAAAAATTATAATATTTTGTATTTTTTATTTGTCTTGTAGTTATAATTTGTTGATGATTTTAGTTAATAATAAAAGCTTATGTTGGTTTTGATTAGACAATTATTATGGCGTACTTGATGATTTTAATGATTTGCAATTGATAATAAATAGTTTTACTATATTATTGGTGCAATTCACAATAAATCCGTGAGTGGATAAGTCCACTTATTAAATGAGTGTCCAAGTGGCATAACAACAACTACTTGATTAAAACAAATGACTAAAGATATTTTGTTATATAATGATCAGGAAATATCAAATCTCAAAATTTTGGAGGGGAAAAAATGAGGAGTGTTTTGATCATGAGAATTATTTTAAATTTTTGGAGGAAAATATATTTTAATAATTTTCAAGTATCTACAAAATGTAATGACTACAATTGAGATACTCATTGAGTGAGTATACTTAGATCACTGACCAAATAGTCCCCTTATCCCAAATTATAAGATAATTTTGGATGAATTTCATTGTCATTTTTCCAAAATATAAGATAATTTGAGAAAAATAAAGTTTTAGCAACGATACCTTTTCAATATTACCTTTTAAATATAGAGGAAATTAAAATGATATTATAACATAATAATTAGGTGTGTAATGACATTTTTGAAATTTTATAGTTTTGTTTTTAAAAAAGTAAATTCACAAAGTATCATTATTGTGTTTCATCGGTATGCATAATCTTGTTTTAAATTATCCTATAATTGGGGATAGGGAGTACAAATATTAGATCTTGTGCCTAAAGAAAGGATAAGCCAAATGAAGATGAAGGAATACTCATGGATCAAGGAAGATGATACCTGAGGACCTGCATTCTTCCTCCGACGACTCCCATTGCAGCAGAGTGTGCTGTTTGATGAAACCACTCATCCCATCCTTCTTACCTGTCAAGCAAAAGGAGAGATTTGAAATTTGAAATTGAAAAATGATAGGCTTGTAGCCACCGGACTTGACACGAAGGAAATAGAAACAATGTGTTGATGGAACTAATTATATATGAGAACAAGAACAACCTCGATTTCCCACTATCACATCTTTGCCTGAATTGCAATTGTAGCATATTTGGAAAATAGGAGCAATTTTGTTAGAGATTAAGTCCAAACATAACTTTCCAATGGGGATAAATATCTTCTGAAGAGCCATATGAAAGAAAGAAAGAAAGAAACATCGAGAAATAATAAAAGAGAGAGGACTTGTATGGAATTAGCTAAGGTCATGGAGAAAGATAGAAAGAAAAGCTAGGAAATAGGATTAATCTAATCTTAAAGATTTTATAACATCATATTTAAAATAAACTCCTAAAAACAATGGTTAACTTAATGATTTTTATTGGAGTAAAAGAGTACAAGAGAGAAATGCACTTTAACTCTTATTTTTTAAGAAATTATCCAACATCATAATGTTATTAAAAAATTTAAATAATAATGCTCAACAAAAATTATTTATTTTTTAAAAGTATGTTTGTGAATGATTTCTTTTAAAATCCATATTCATATCATTTTCCAATTTTATGGTGTTGTACCTTTTGCCACGAGTTGTAATAATCAAGATATACGTCAATATGTATTAGAAATATACATGGAAGACAAGACGAAAGAAGGGGGAAAAAGTACCTTTGGGATGCATGTCATCTTCAAGTCCTTCCCAATCTTTAATTGGTGGTTGTAGTTTTTGCCATAAATTTCTATCATCTGGGAACATTCTAGGGTCTAGAAATCGGATTCATCTAAGATATTTTGTTCCCTATATACATGAACTGCAATATGAGTTTCCTTTTCCCTGTTTATATCTCGTGCATTGCTCCTAAAGGAAACCTGGACTTGATTCCATTTATTCACAGGAGGGATTTTAACATTTCGAAGGATACTTTGCAAATCACATATGTATATATGGTTAGTCTTTGTTGTTGATAATAGAAGCCACTCAGAAGAATTAACATCTAACTTGCTATCATTGATGTGTACTGAGAACAAACAATTGTAGGGAGAATCTTGGTCATTTTCAACATGAAACCAAAGAGAAATTGTCAGGAACTTATCACGAATCCAAAAGGACATGGAGCTTCCTCGACTATAATAGTCAAGCCACTAAGGGATTTCCTTTCCTGGCAAAATAAAGTTTCTTTTCCTAGGTTTAAAGTAGAATGCCTGCAAATTACATATTACAAAAAATTACAAATAAAATATAATGAAGTACCAAAATAAGATAATTAAGAAAAGATTGGAGTGGGGGAGTGACCTTGTTCAACACTTTGCTCTTAGATAACTCTGACAATGATGTGCAACTTATGGCGCTAAATTGTTCCAAGTTTGGTGGCATCCGCACAATATCACAAAGTTCCTTGCAATTATCTAGCAAAAGGTATCTTAAATGGTGAAATTTTTCTGGAAGAGTTGTGAAATTATTAAACCTTAGATCTAAACGCACAACATTAGGCATGTAAGTGAGACAGAGAGCAAGAGAGTGATCGGATAAATTGCAATTTGAGAAACAAAATTATTTCAATTTCGACGACATTGATGAGCAGTCTAGGCTTCCTTTGTTTCCACCACTACCAATGTCAAAATGCCTCATCCCTTTGCAAAAATTTGTTGTTAGTTCTGAAAGGTTTGGCAACATACAAATACTAGATGGTAATTCCTTAAGATTAGAACATGCATCCATGTTTAAGTTTTCAAGCCCAATGAGATAGTGAATTGAAAATGGCAATCCTGGGATGGATGTTCCTTCCAAATTAGTTGTTCTAACTTCTGCATCTTATCTAATACATCTGGAAAACTTTGAAGACTTGAACAACCATAGAGTTTTAGCTGTTCTAAGTATGTCAACTTAATAGTAGATGGAAATTTTTTCAAATTTTTGCTTCGCATGGCGCTCAATTATTTAAGATTATCCAAGGATCCAACTGAGTCATCAATTTCAATTAAACTTGTACAATCATCAAGCCGTAATTCTTTTAAATTCAAAGCTCCTGACAAGTTTGGTATTTGACTTAGGAATTTGCAGTTGCTAAAATTTATGTGAGTTAAACTCTCAAGTTTCTGCAAAATAAAATTGAAAAAAATCAAACAAATGAATCAAAGAAGTCTGTAGTTCTAAGAGTAGTTATAAATATACCTTAATAAATGGTTGGAGCACTGCACAACAACTATTGGACATGTCAAGATGGACAAGTTTAGATGGATGAAAATTAGAAGGCAAGAATTCAAAAGGGTACCCCTTCCATTCCAACAAACGTAAACTATTTGGGAGATATTGAGGGGCTCTAGAAAAACTTGCACTTTTTATTGTGAGAAATTTGAGGTTCTTCATTCCCATGAATTCCTCTCCGCTCCATTGAATTTCTTTACCTTCAGGCAATTCAAGAATTATGACTTCAATTTCATCACTTCCCTTTCAATTGAGAAGCACACAATAAATACTGGATTTTAGAAACACACACACACACACAAAAGGTCATATAAAGGTAAGCATTGAATAAAAAGTGATAGATGTTGTGCTCTTACTGTGTCATTTTGCAAGACATGAAGAATGTCCTCATAAGACCATAACCTACTTTGTTTACTAGGTTCTCTTCGTGACTGTTGTCGAACAATTTCCTTGCCCATATTTTCTATCAAGTTGTGCATTATTATACAATCTTTTTTAATCTTTATTAGAGATTTATCACCCAACACTTCAATAGCATAAGTTGGTTGGACTCCACGTGCAATCACCAACATATTTTTGACATCTCCTAATTTCTCTCCATTGAAGAAACAAGCCAAGTCAAGAAAAATTTCCTTATGTTCTTCTTCCAAAGCATCATAGCTTAATTTAAGGACTTCAAAGACATCTTTATTAGGTATTCTTTCATACTCATCTAATGCAGAACTCCATTTATCAACATCTTTATCACATACATTAGAGCCAATTACTTCCAAGGCTAATGGAAGGCCGCATGAATATTTAATGGCACAATTCAAAACATCTATGTAATTTGAATCCACAATGCCCTTTTTAAAAGCATTCCATTTAATCAACTGAAGAGATTCCTTATAACCTAATTTCTTGACAGTATAAATTCTTGTAACCCCATGACTTTTTAAGAGCTGTTTATTCCTTGTCGTAATGATGATTCTACTTCCTGAGCCAAACCAGTCACATCTTCCAGCTAGTGCTTTTAACTGCTCCAATTTGTTGACATCATCAAGGAGTAAAAGAATCTTCTTTCTTTGAAGCCTGTGTTCTATTATTGAAATTCCTTCATGAAAATCATCATCCAATGAGATTTCCTTCTCCTCGACTAATTTATGAAGTAATGTCTCTTGAAGACATGACAAGCCACGCTTGTTAGAGATTTCTCTAACTTTAGAAAGAAAACATAAACTATCAAACTGATCAGCAATTGAGTTATACACAGCTCTTGCAATTGTTGATTTACCAATCCCACCAATTCCACAAATTCTGATCATGATGACTTCTTCCTTGGACCAAAGATCTAAAAGTGAGATTACTTCTTGTACCCGAGGCTCAAGGCCAACTTGATAATTGGTAACATACAAATGAGTGTGTTTATTAATCTTGGTAGAGACTACACAAGTAATTTTTCTAATATACTCTTGTTCATTTGCAACCCCGCCATTAAAAGGTTCCTTTACTTAGACCAAAAAATATTGATATGCATGTTATAAAAAGAATGAAATGGAATCAGAAAGAGGATAAAATAAAAAGTAAAGTACAATGAACTTGATCCGTTCCATTTTGCCAAAATTATAGACATCTTCCTTTTGTTTTTGAAATTGGCACTTTTATTTTATTTTTAATATCATTATGAATATTCTGTTACAGATGTCAATTGCTCTTGTAATCTAATTGTCTACTCTCTTGTCTCTCTCCTTAATTTAAAGAACTTTAAATAAATAAGCTAAGCATTTCTAGCTTGAGATGTCCCTATTTTGTAAAATGTCGTAATTTTGAAGAGCCGCATCGAATTTTAATTATTTTAAATAAAATAATTTAATTTATATATTTTAAATTTCTGATAGTTCTCCTAATTTTCAAATTCTACTTTCTATCCATTTTAATCGTAACTACGTGTTAGTTGAACTTAACATTTTAAACATATAAAAATCTTAGGAGAAAGTTCTTGCTTCATAACTTTTCCACCCAGAAAATCTCTCCACTATATCTCAATATATCAATTATCTCTCCAGTTCAAATATTATCATAACTTCCCAGCTTATTCATAATTTTTAAAAATTTTAAAAAAGTTCAAGCATCATAATTTCCTCACCCTAAAAAATCTCTCCATGAGCTCAATATCAACTATCTGTCCAATTTAAATATTTTCTTCTTCTATGATCGGTTCAGAAAAAATTAAGATAAACAAATTTTATCTACATTAATCAAGAATTTACGTACAAGGATCATCGATGGTCTAATAAACACAGAATTTGCAAATAAGATTCAAAGACATAAACCTTTATATGTTTAAAAGAAAAAATTTAGTATTATTTTTCTGGACACTATAATCACAAGCAGTAGTATTCCTAACTTGACACATACAAACTTTTAGGAATTTAGCATGTCCATGTTAATTACCATTGATTGCAAAAAATGTTTTTTTTTTTTGAAAAAAAAATGATAGCAATATCTGTAAAACTGTTAGAGACCACTTTCGTCAATCTCTCTTCCACTGTCCCTCTTATTATCATAACTTCCTATCTTTTTAATTATTCTCAATTTTAAATTTCAATTATAAAATCTTAGAAAACTTCAATCATCGTAACTTCTTCAAAAATATAGAAAAGTAGAATCATGAGGTAAACACTAACTAAAATATACCCATGTTGGAGATGCCAGCCAGTCAAGTTAGCTGCTTGAGTCAAAGCGCACCTCCATTTCTTCAGCTTGTCATCATCGTCTTCAAATCTTTTCTGCAGATGAGCCAAAGCTTCTCCATAACTCCCTCTCTGATGCCGCACGTCAGCTGGATCCACATGATAAAACACCGGATACAGTAACTGACCTTCTTCTTTGAAGCAATCAACAATCTCTGCAGGTTCATCCAGACAGAATGTTGAGGATGCGTAGTTTTTGGAGAAAACTATGATGGCTATCCTCGATTCTTTGATGGCTTTGAACAGAGATTCTCGGATTTCTTCACCTGCATGGAGGGCTTTATCATCAAAGAAGTTGCGAATTCCTCTCTGACGCAGAGACTCGTAGAGATGGCCAACGAAAGTGAGGCGAGTATCTTCACCGCGAAAACTAAGAAATACGTCATAAGTCCATTTGCAAGTGACAGAAGAGGATCCTGGAACTAGTGCCATGACACAGTAATGGCCTTCGCAGCTGATCTTGCCAATATCAGAGCTTCGAAATGGCAGATGATTAGAGCTAAGCAACAAGATCTGTGAAGATTGCAAGATCGACTTGTAGGTTTAAATTCATGCTCTGTAAATTTTTTTCCCCCAATATTTCTGCTTAAAAAAAGAAAAGTGGAGGCTGCCCCACCTAGGAGGAATTTTCACGCGCATTTGGAAGACTTGCTGTCATTGACGAAAAAGCAAGACTTTCATTTTTTGTCAGTTTTTCAGGAAATTAATTAATTGTAATTTCAAAAGGAAAAATTTAAATGAGTTAGGGCTCAAACAAAGGTTACTACATATCTAATAGACAAAACTACACTGCTTTAATTTAAATAAAATAAATTACAAGATTTACTTTAAAATTGGGAAAAATTAAAGGATTTGTGAACTAATTTTCTCTTTTAAATTTAAAATCTTATATTTAAATTTATATATTTTATCAATATCAATTGGGTCTAGTGAAAGCAGTTAGTTCCACACAATGTGATAAATTACGATTCAATTTCTAATTGAGAGAGGTATCCATATTTAATTCTCGACTGTAAAGAATAAAAAAAATTATGTATTTAAAATTTTTTTATTTGAAAGTGTAAAAAATATTAAAGCTAGAAAAAATATGAGCTAAAATTTGAAAGCAAAATAAAAGATTTGAAATGATAAACTTATTTTTATTCTTCAATTAATGAGAGATAAGAGTAATAGAAGTGTAGCGTCCCCGCCGGTAGGCCCATTGCTTCTTAATCATGTCAGGTCACTGTTAGTGCTAACAAGCGTCCCCACGCGCCATTGACGATAATGCCGTGTCTGGAAAACATCATTGGTTTATTTCAAGGAAATTACACACAAGGAGTTAAAGGTCAAACACATGCTAATTCTTGCCCTGTTAAACTTTTTTTATATCAGATTTAACAAAAGAGACATTGTGCATCAAGTAGTTCACAAGTCATGTATTCAAGGAAAATATAAGATTGCATAGATATCAGAATAAATTTTGCTTAGTTATATTAATTAGCACATCAGAAATCAGAGTCATAGATGGTTGAGTGTTGTTTAAAACTAGCAAATTTTGAACTTTGAGCATTAACATACTGTATAATTTTGTTGGCAATATATATATATATATATATATATACTGTATAATTTTCAAAACAAATTATTATAGATGCTGTCAATTCTTTTTTTTTTTGTCTTCTAATTTCAAAACACAAGTACTCTCAAATTAATCTAATATATAAATTATGTTAATAATTTAAATTAACATGCTTATCTAGCTAAATGAAAAAAATTATAATCCTCAAATCAATTTAAGTATTATTAATTTAGTTCCTTACACATACACATATATATGATCTGTAGTCATTGGCATTATGTCTCGTAGAGAACCGTGTTGACTCCAACAACTCCTGGGTTCATCTATCCATGATCTGCATTTGGTGCTTGTGATGAGCAATGAGTGCTCATCACTTCTGGGCTCATCTTGACCTTGCATTTCACTTTGAAATGAAAATGTCTGTTAAGTTCATTTAAATTAATTTTTACATATTTGTATCATTGTATTTATAAAAATAAAAATTATAATATTATAATTTAAATATATTTTAAAATTAATTTAAATGAATGGATAAATCATTTCAAAGTGAAATGAAAAGTTAAGATGAACCTATAAGTGATGAATGAGCACCAAATACAGATCCGTTTATCCTTAAATCTTAATCACATTAATTAGGTAAGATGTAACAAAAGAGTCCCCACTATTGATGATAATGCCTTGTTTGAAATGTGTCCTTTTTTTTTTTTAAGGAAATTACACCTTAGGATTTAAAGTCCAAAAATAATTATTGCATTGCAAAACTCATTGTATATCTGGTTGAAAAGGAAAACATGGGGCATCATCATGTCTCATATGTTATATATTCAAGGAAAATAGTTCTTCTGAGTTTAAGTGTAACGTCCATCAGTCAACTTAGAGGTTTATCATTCATCATCATCCTTGTAAAGCCTGATAGCCAACTTGTAACTTCATCCATAAATGTAACCTCTGCCAGTCAGTCAGTCAGTCAGTCATGCGTAGTTGGAAACAGACTGCCATGAAGTATGGACTTATTTCCCTTTGGTTTGAAAGAAATGAAGAGAGACATTTAAGGTCCTCTCCCTGGAATTTATTGTAATAAAAACCCATAAGTTTTGTACCTTGTGAAAACACACATATTATTATTAAAAGTTGAAACTTAATTTATATTGTTAGAATTTCCTTATAAATTTAATAAGAGAAGATTCAACTTTTAATAACAACGTATAAATATTTTTATCAGTCAATATCCAATGCAAACTTGTGGATGTCATTCTCACAAAAATTAATTGTAAATCCAACTTGTTTAACCAAAAAAAAAAATCAACTTGTTTCAAGTATTTCTAATCTCATCAGAGTGCAGATCATTTTATCAATATATCATTGATTGACAGGGTATATAACGAACCATAGTCAAGCATCTCAAAGAGTGGCAGAGCTAGCTAGAGGACATTTTTTCATACCCAAGTAGGGATCGAACCCCTAACACTTGGTTAAGGGAGGATGAGCCCTTGCCACTCAACTACATGCCCCTGGTTAGAGTTTAATAAAATTAGTATGTTTATTTCACTCATTCTCTTGCATAATATGACAGGCACATTTCTGCATATAGTTGTGTTTGTCTTAAAAAAAATATAGACTCATTCTTAATATACAACTCCTTATGGATAGTTGCATAGTGTAGTTGAATTAATTAAGCTTCTAATATAGACTCTCTTAAATAAATAATTGGTTATTGATCATTGGAAACTGATCGAAGCAATTTTTGGAAACAATATAAATGTATGGAAAATATTACCTAAGGACCCTTGTAGCTTTTTAATAGTAAAAAAAGGTCCTATAATTATGAAATATCATCGCACCTCTTGAGATATAATTGACAAAAAAAAAAAAAAGATTGCGGGAAGAAAGACATTATCTATATATTAATAATCACTTGTCAATATCCGTGAATGCGTTGTTGTTACATGCGTATTATGCTTTCAATAATTTGGAATCAAGATAACTTTACTTTCTTTTGATTATTTTATCAATTTATTTCTTATTTTTTTTTAAAAAAAAGGTGCAGGTTGCCCACCAAGGACGAATTTTCACGCACGCTTGGAAGACTTGCTGTCATTGACTAAAAAGCAAGACTTTCATTTTGAAAAAATGAGTAAGAACATTAATGATAATTATAAATATTAAATTATTGAAATTTTAATAAAAAACTATAATCCTTACATCCAATTAAAAAAATGTGAATACTTAGTTGAAAAATTTATTAACTATATTAAGATTATTTGTAATATCAACTGAGAATTTATAAAAATTAATTAAAAATTTTAATTTTTACTGTAAATATATAGATAAACCACTTGAAAAATTAAGTAAATATACTTAGAATTATTTATAACATTAGTTTGAAATTTACAAGAGTTAACAGTGAATTGCAAGCTAATTGCTTATGATTTTTTTCTTTTAATATATAGCTAAATTACTTAAAAAATTACTAAATATACTTGAGATTATTTGTAACTTTAGTTGAGAATTTATGAAAATTAGTTGTGAATTGCAAGCGAATTACTTATGATTTTTTCAATCGTTTCAAAAGTCAACAAAAGATAGTTGAAAATCATTGTAACGTTAATTAAAAATTTACTAAAGTATGTCATGAATCTCAAGCTAATCAATAAAAGACAATTATTGCAAGTAAGATCATGGTCTATTATTAGAATTTCAAAAATTTAATGTATGTAATTGTCATTAACGATCTTACAAGATCTTTAATTGTTATTTTTCCTTTCATTTTTTCTCAATTTTTCAGGAAAATAATTAATAGTGATGAATTCTTTTCTTTTTTCAAAAGAAAAAATTTAAATGAGTTGGGTTTTAGTGGTGGGGGCTCACCAAAGTTAAGATATGTTTAGGGGCACAAACAACACTCATTACTTATCTAATGGATTAAATTATAATTCCTTGATTAAAAAAATAAATTATGAGGACTTAATTTAAAATTGAGAAAAATTGAAAGAACTAGTGAATTAATCTTCTATTTTAAATTTAAAATCTCACATTTAAAATTTATGTATTTAATAATAGGAGTTGGATCTAGTACAAAGGGCTAGTCCCTCACAACATGATAACATATTTAATCCATGAATGTGCCTCGAAGATGATCACCTTTAATAGAAGGATATCTATAAATAATAATAAAAATTCATGTATTTAAGATCCTTTTATTTGATTAAAGCCATTGATGAGCTCAATTCATTTAAGCTCAAAATAATATAGGGTCAGGCCACTTCTTTGGAGTGTACAATGATAATTCGGACTTAAAAAACTGAAAACCCTAGCTTACCTCCCTTACATTCATTTGATTTATGCCATTCATGCTCTTTTGCATGGTTTTTGAGTTGAATGGTAACTTATTATTATTGGTTTACTTTGAATATTTTTGCAAATTTTAAATATTTTGAAATTATTTTTTTTTTGGTTTATTATTTGTTGCAAATAATGATGATGATGAAGGAATATATGAAAAGCTTAACATCTTCGCCACTGATGAGGCTCCATAAGGAGAAAGATCAAATTATATTGATATTGATGACAATGATCATAAAGATTTAGCTAATAACACTAGCAAAGTTTAATTATTATCAGTGTTGATTTTGTAAAATTGCTACTTTTGATTAGACTTAAATTTGTTATTATGTGTATTATCTTAAATTCATCTTTATAGACTTAATGTCATGTATAATAACTTTTTTAGAATTTTAAATATATTTTTTAGATTTTTAAATTGAAAAAAAAAAAAATATATATATATAGGGTCGAGGCTTTAAGAGCTGGCCCTTTAGCCTAGAGGGCTAGGGTGGGGCTTGTCACGCCCTGAAAATAGAGGGTGACCGGCATAGGTGCGAACTACATCCCGCACTCCCGTAAACCTTAAAATGAAAATTTCTTCTGTTTAAAAAAAAATTAAATTATATAGAAATTTTAATACTTTTAATATTATTTGTCATAACAAGACTTCAACGTTTTTTTTTAGAAATTTCGACAGAACTTTCCTTGTAACTACGATCTCCCAAAAGTTCTACAACAAAAATTTTTAGTAAACAATATCATTCAGGAGCTTAGCTCCTTCCAGCCATCAATAGTATATAGATCAAAATAAAACTCTAACAATAATCTATGTGGAGCAACTGATCTTTCTCCTAGATTTAAAATGTATGAGTACTAAAATATTTATATATAAAAAGGTAATAATGCCAAGCAAAATTTTCCCACCCAATATAACTGTATTGCCCTTTCTAAGGTCGGTGGTAGGATCAGCGTCAACTAACGAATCTAAAACTAAAATAAATTTTTTCAGTAAATATCATCCCAACAATAAATAATTGATCATGAATAAACAGAAAACTTTAAAATAATTATGTAACCAAAGAGGCAACTCCTTCCATAAAAATTCCATAAGCTTTAGAATGAAATGGCTCTATAAAAGTTAAATAAAATCGTAAATCATTGAACTATCATAAAACTTGTTATTATCACTTGATTTCAAGAAAGCATGTAAATGAAATAAATACTTATAAATAAGTTGCTAAGTAAGAACCAATGGAATATAAAATCACTAAATAAACAGATTATAATTATAGAGACTTATCAGAACAATTAACAACCATGAACACATAGTCCACGAGAGTAAATAACCAGACGTGACCGAAGCCACGAAGACAAATGTGGACACACCAGTCCGCGAGGATAAGTAACCAAATGCAGCCGAAGCTACGAAACAAACGTGGACACATAGTCCACGAGAGTACTGTTAACCAAACGTGGCTCAAAGCCACGAAATCAAACGTGAGTACAACACTCACGAATAACCATCCCTTCGTTCCACGTGCGTTGGCCATCGCACGAGGCTAGCACCTCCTATAAACACCCTGCTAGCTAGGTGTACCATGGTGCGCCAACGGCTAACAGAACTGCCGTTAGCAACCAGTGTTCTATATAAGGTCCCTTTCAAATTCATTTTCAAACATGCGAGAAAATCATCACTTTCAAAATAAATTTTCATTTTCAATATCAAACTCGCATGAATCATTTTTCTATAGCAATTCAATAATTTCTAAAATGAAATCCCATAAGTAAAATCTAAACTTGTATTTATTGAACAATTAACATTTCAAAAGTGATAAAGGCAATTTCATAAAATAAAGAAGTTTAACAAACAAATTATTCGATATTCACATTGTTGTTATAAAATGATTTACATAAAATTGTAATATTTTAGTAACAGAAAATTTTATTAGATAATCAGTTGGGACTGTATCCACTTACCTGAAATTTCCAGAATTCAAGAATTCATCTTTTAATGCCAGCTAAATTCTCCTCCTTTAAATATCCTATGAATTAAATTAAAATTTTTTTAAATAAACTTCCCATAATGTCAATTATTTCCTCCCAATATTACTACCATCGAAATTTAACTAAAGTAAATTTGGAATTTTAGGAGCAAAACCTTACACATAAAGTCCCTCAGAACCATAACTCAATACTTCGTCATAATACCATCTATTTCCCAAGAATTCAAATAGTTTGATACTAATTCCATACTCAAGTTTCCTTTGGACTTCAATTAAGCTCATAGAGCGATAGCATTCAATCTGGACATATCACTCACAGGAATAAATAAAATTTAAAAATTGTATAGAAATCAAATAAAATTTCTTCTAACAAGCATTGTGTCAAACACCTTGCATACACTAATTTTTTTTTTTTAAGGTCAACCACTTCTTGCTCCTAGATTCTATTTCCCAAAACTCTAATATATAAATAAATAAATCAATCAACTTCCTAAGTCCAATTTCTTCATTGAATAAATCAATCTTAATTTAAGAAAATTAAAGAATCATCTTTCACGTTTCACATGGCAACATAGAAGCATAATTTCAGCTTCAATTTAACTTCTATCATTCTCACATAATCACGTAGCAGCCACCAAAAGGGAAAAATTGCAACTTCAATCATCTATTCAGTCATTCACACACATAAACTATGAGAAATAAGTGGCTCAAGACTTCTTTACCTCCATTAACATTGGCATACACAGGGAGAAAAGAAGGCAATAGTTGCAGGGGAAAATGACAGTCAATAAAATGAAACTCCCATAGCCACAAATCAACTCCCACAGCACAAATTATTTAGAGAATAGTAGAAAAGGTCAAGGCTTCCACCTTAATTGACTCATGGCGAATGAACCGAGAAAGAAGAAAACAATGGCATGCCTGAACAGTGAAGAAAAAGGGGAACGATCATCATGAACGAAGAGCAGATAAGCATACTAGTATTGACAGAACAAGCAAGAGGACGGAAGAGATTTTATATTGCCCGTACAGCTACACCGACAGTGAAGAAGGATCCTCACCGATCTAGAATAGAGGAAGGAAAAACAAAAGCCACAAGCTAATTGATCAGAGGCGGACGGAGCAGCAGCACCCATGTCACCGGCGATGACAGCAAAAGGAGGAAGAAAGCAGAGGAGAACAAAGATGGGAAGATCCAAGCTCTCTCTTTCTCAGCTGATCCATCTTCGAACATGGTTCCTCATGAATTTGTCATTCAATGACTGACCATGAGCACGAACGTGCCGGCAACAGTCACAGGCGAAAAAGACAGAGACGAAGGTGCAGAAGAAGAATGGTGGCTTAATCGGGTCAGAGCATTCCTTTCTCTCTCTTTGTCTCTCTCGCGAGTTTTCTGGAGGAAAAAGTAATGAGGAGGACGAAGATTTTTATCAGATGATGAGGAGGGCAATTTCATAATTTTAAGGAAAAAACAAAATAAAAAAAAATATCTTTTTAGTCTCAACCAGATTCAAACTTGAGACTTGATAGAACAATACTTATTCAAATGCCACTACACCAGCTCTTTTTTCTTGCTTTATTTATCTAAAAATTAATATAACTACAATTAAAACACCAACTTATATATTTATTCCTATTTTCTTTCTTTCTTCTTTTCTTTTTTTTTTAATTCTTGAGTTATTACAGGGCTGGCCAAAATGAAATTTTAATGTGTAATTGAATTTAACAAGGCCAGTTTGTTTAGGCCTTGGCCTTTCAAAGGCTAGACATAATTAACAATTCTATATTTGATGGTGTAAAAAAATATTAAAAATAGAAAAAAGATGACCTAAAATTTGAAATAAAAGAAAAAATAGGAGATCTGGAACCATGAAATTATCTTCATTCCTCAATAGGTCATAAATGAGATGAGAGATGAATAATAGAGACAACATGAATAGAGATTTGGAACGATGAAATTATCTTCATTCCTCAATTTACACCTTAAATTTTACCTAAATTTAATTTAATATTACATTTAACCAAAATCACTTAAAATTAAAAAAAATGAATATCATAAAAATTAAAAAATATACATGCAACATAAAAAAAATAACTACATGGAACATAAATAACACAAAAAATAACTACATGGAAAATACTAAAATAAATAACTATAAAAAATTTAAATTTAATCATAAAAATTTTACTAACCTAGACTCACAAGCTTTTTTCACATACATTTTGAGTAAGATATGTCAATAATTTGTAATTATTTAACACCAAAAAAAATTAAAAAACACATCATAAATAAAAATTTAACCAAAAAAAATCAAAAAAAATTTAAGGAAGAAGACATACTTAGGCGGAAGGTTTAGATGGGCAAATGAAAAATTTCATTTGCCTGCCATTTATAAGTTGATTAGGAGGCGTTTTCCACAACAAAAATACCTCTACAAGTGGCATTTTTTCTAGTAAAACATGGAGGTGTTTATGTCCTAGAAACGCCTCCTTATGGAGTATTTTATAGGAAACATCCCACCTATCGCAAGGAGGCATTTCTGTACAAATGCCCCCTTCGGGGACATCTCTTATAAACGCCCTCTTAGGGGTGTTTGTATGAAAATGGCTCTAGAGAAGGCGATTTTTCCAAGAAACGTCCCCTATGGTGGCATTTAGAAAAAAATCAAATTAAAAACACCTTAGAGTGCGTTTTTGTGGCGTTTCAATAAAACGCCTCAAATGAAATACCTCTAAAGCACAATTTTTTTATAGTGTGAGGAGAAAAATTGAAGGAAAGGAGAGGGTTGGAAATTGGAATAGAATATATAATGTAGGCCCCTTGATTCTTAATCATGTCAAGTCATTATTAATGCTAATGGGAGTCCCCCCACACAATTGAAGATAATGCCGTGTTGAAACACATCCTTGGTTTGGCCAAAAAAAAAAATTGAGACATCCTTGGTTTTTTTCAACGAAATTACACACAAGGAGTTAAACACATGCTAATTCTTGCCCTGTTAAGCTTTTCTTGATATCAGATTAAAGAAAAGAGACATTGTGCATCACGTAGTTCACAAGTCATGTATTCAAGGAAATTATAATATTTGATGAGACATCAGAACAAATTTTGCTTAGTTGTATTAGCACATTAAAAACCAAAATCATCGATGGTTGACTGGTTTCTTAAAACTAGCAAATTTTGCTCAGGTTTAGCAACCTCTGCACTAATAACTTTGAGCATTAACATATGTTTAATAGAGCTCTTTTTAGTATGTATTATATACTGTATGATAGACACTGTTAGTTCCTTTTTTAGTTTTTAGTATGTATTATATACTGTATGATAGACACTGTTAGTTCCTTTTTTAGTCCTCTAAATTTCAAAATACAATTGTACTCTCAAATTAATCTAATGTATAAAATATTTTAATAATTTAAATCAACATACATATGTAGCTAAATGAAAATCTGAAGTCAATTTAATTTTTTTTAATTTATCCCCTTACATATACACATATTCTGTAGTCGTCATTGGCAATATGTTTCGTAGAGAACTGTGTTGGCTCCAAATTCAGGGGTTCATTTATCTGTGATCCCCATTTGGTGATTTTGATGAGCACCCATTGCTCATCACTCCTCCTAACTTTTCATTTCACTTTGAAATGATCTCTTCTATTTATTTAAATTAATTTTTAGGTATTTTTATCATTGTATTTATTAAAATAAAAATAGTAGTAGAAATATCTAAAAATTAATTTAAAATGAGAAAAATCGTTTCAAAGTCAAATGAAAAGCCAAGATGAGTCTACAAGCAATAAGCACCAATGCAGACCCCATGTATTCTTAAATCTTAATCATGTTAATTAGGTAAGTTTCCACTAAATAAAGATAATGCCTTGCTAGAAACGCATCCTTGTTTTTTCAAGGAAATTACACCTAAGGATTTAAAAACCAAAAATAATTATTGTATTGCAAAACTCATGGTATATTTTTTTTGGCTGGAAAACTCATTGTATATTAGGCTGAAGAAAGATGACATTGGGCATCATCATGAATCTCATATGTCATATATTTAAGGAAAACAGTTCTTCTGATATTAAATGTATCGTCCGTCAATCAACTTGGAGGTTTATCATTCATCATCATCCATTAATGTAACCTCCGTCAGTCAGTCATGGGCAGTTGGAAGCTGGCTGCTATGAACCTTCGTCTTATTTCCCTTTGATTTGAAATAAATTAGGAGGGAATGACATATAAGGTCCTCTTGATTAAATTTTTTGCAATAAGGACCTATAAATTTTTTTATCTTATAAACACATGTATATGTTATTACTAAAAGCTAAAACTTGTATTTTTTTTATTAGGTTCTACTTAAATAACAAGTGAAGATTTAGCTTTTAACAATAACATATATGTATTTTTACAAATCAATATTCGATGCAAAACTTACACATGTCATTCTCCCATAAATTAATTTGTAAATTCAACTTGTTTAACCAAAAAAAAAAATCAACTTATTTCAAATATTTCTAATCTTATCAGAGTCCAAATCATTTTATTAATATATCGTTGATTGACAGGGAATACAATGAACCATTCCCATGAGAAGTAGTCATGTACTTATACCCAGTCAGAGTTTATTAAAATTATGTTTGTTTCAAACTCATTCTCTCATATAATATGACAAGCTCATTTCTGCATGTAGTTGTGTGTCTTAAAAAATATAACCTCATTCTTAATATACAACTCCTTCTGGATAGTTGTTTAATGTAGTTGAAGTTAATTAAGTTTCTAATATAAACTCTCTAAAATAAATAATTGATCATCGATGATTGAAAACTTAAGCAACTTTTTGAAAGCAATATAAATTTAGGAAAATATTACCTAAGGACCCCTGTAGCTTTTTAGTAGCAAAAAAGGATCCTATACATAATTATGAAGTATCATATCACCTCTTGAGATATGATTGGAAAAAGTTTGCGGGGCAAAAGACATTATTACCTCTGTTACTTTCTTATTGGTTGTAATTGACATTATCTATATATCATTGTCAATACATGTGAATGCTTTGTTGTTACATGCATACTGTACTTTCAATAATTTGGAATCAATATAACTTTACTTTCTCTTGATTATTTTGTCAATTTATTTTTTATTATTATAGGATCAAATTATATATTTGATGGAGTTTTATTTAAATGTGGTGTTTTACGGTGATGATAATTCCAAATTCATTAAAATGAACCACTAAGTAAGAAACAAATGCAACTCTTATCATAAATAAAATTAAGCCATGTTATTAATGCTTTAAATTATAGTATAGTTTTTTATAACCATAATGAAGACGAGAGACCATGCGCATCACATAGCTATTATTAAGTAACTCACAATTCAAGAAACATTAAAGGTATTAGTTTATGATAACAAATTTCACCAGGTGTATCAGCATATGATCAATAAGATTCATGTAGTAGGATTGTTTAACAATTTTCTTAGTACATCCTAATTTCAAGTGTGTGCATGTTGCAAGACACAAAAGTTGTGTAGCAGATTTCTCTATTCCAAAAGTACAAAAAGGAACAAAAAATGAGAATAGGAAAATTTTCTATTTGAAAGGATTTTGAATCCTTCTACAACTTGTGTGGTTCTATTTTCAATATGAGCAAAACCAATACACACACACACACGCAAATGTATCATAATCTCCAATACACCTTGAATAGGTCTCTCTGCAAATACTTCTAGAAGATCCCATAGAAAATGTAGCAGCACATACAGCAATTAACAAGCTCTTCTAGTTCAGAGATTTTCCACGTTTGCCACACTCTGTTGTTGATTACGAACATATGATCTCCATTGCTTTTGTTCATCAACACTTCTCACTGCTAGAAAATTAGCAGATGATGAACAGATCATTTCAGTAAAACGATATTCTGGTTTGATGAATACAAGTGTCGAGACCAAGTTGATTGACTTTTACCAATCCGCTAATTCATATTGAATCACCAGTCAAATCATCAAATCCTATCTTATTTTTAACACATTATAAGTTGTATTTTTTATCATTTCTTATTAATGTAGCACTTCACACTTTTTCAAATAAATGCGAATAAATGGCGGATGAAGAAGGTAGGCAAAAATAACAATTAATATGTTTCTGAAACATACTTCCACTTGCCGCCATTCCAACAGAAAAAGTGCATGAAGACACAGAGGAAGTTTTTCTGTAGCGATGGATCATAATAATTTCATTTTCAAGCATGACTGAAAATTTTCAATTGAGGCAGAAAAGTTCTAATTCTCAAAATCTTAAACCAAATCATATCGCAGCATCTCCTACCATATATTTATACAAGTAGTCACATGACTTGTATTGTACTTTCAAACTTTTTTGTTTTCATTTCCAACAAATGAAAAGAAATACATGCGCGCGCGCACTTTTACAATCAAACATTAGGCTCTGTATTTAAATATTCTTGTCATAGTGCAAGGAAAAATTAAGAAAAAAGCACTATGGTGTTCTATTTATGATAAATGTAACTAAAAAGCACTATGATTCTACTTACACTGATGTGAAGAAATTGGTCTGTAAGCTCTTTCTAAACCAGATTTCCATCTGTGCCAGCTCAGTCCTGCTTGGAGTGCCCTCTTGTCCAATTTCTAAACAACAACAAACAGCCTCATCCTACTGTCCAATGTCTTCACATCAGTGCAAGTAGAATCAACAAGAAAGGATGGACCACTAAATTTGTTGACAGTTGCAGTGTGGAAACATGATTCTTCCATGACTATGAACATGATCTCTTCTCTTGTATTGTTCATTAGAGGAACGGATTATTCATCACAACACTGTAGAAATGAAAGGTAAGGATAGTAAATCCAGTCTTATTAAATTTCATAATGGGGCTTCTTGTTTGAGGAATAGAAACCGTATCAAGAATTAGCTGAAGAATTGCATGCTCACCCTTCACCAACTAAAGTTAGCTATTTGGGATTTGCACAAAACCTTTTTTTTCCCCTTCGTTTTTTGTTGTTGTTTTAATAGCTTTGACAGCATCTCTAGCTTTCCTGCAAATTCAGAAAAATATGAAATGGTTCAAACATTGGCACTACTTCACTTTTTTTGACAAATCAACAAGCTCATCTATACTCCCAAAGATATCAAGATAAAAGCCTTCCACCATCAAGAATCAAGCCATGAATGATACTGAGCATTATTAGAATTGAAAATACAGTATGCTAGGCACCAAAATATCTAGTTTTTACCACTTGACTGAGACTATAACATCAAATTTAAGACATAATGAAAATGAATGAATCCAAAAGCCTAGCAATCAATCTTGGCTTCACTAGATTTCTTGGAGAATAATGAACAGTAATTAAACTCTTAAGTCTTAATAAGAAAGAGTCAAATCGAACAATGGAATCAATTAGTTTCATGAAGCACTATCTTGAATAACTTCATAAGTATATTATCCTTTCCTTTGAAATGTTCCGGGACAATATTAAAAGGGGAATGCTATATAAAATGCCAGATTGCAATCTCATAAAGTACCTACAACCAGCAAGGATTCCAATTAATATGTCCAGAACCATATTCTCAACCATCAAATGCTGTAGAAGATGAAGACCAGAACTAGGAATAGCAGCACATGGGAAGATGAGCTTGGAGATTGTGGAAGCTTCAAGCATGTGGTTCTGTGGACAAGATTTCTTGAGAGGATGGGATCATCACACACTTGAAATAGAAGCATGAGAAAGAATCATAACTACTCACGCAAACATGTCTTTTTTGAAATTCAAAATATTGCTGAGATGCATGAGCTGTTATGATAACTCAATGAAGGAATGATGAAAAAGCAAAGCCGTTGCCTGATAAAATTCTTGAGCCTGTTTTTAAGGATGAAGACAAGTATAAGGGTTCCAGATTCATGAAACTTTTCATGATGATCATATTGTTAAGATTTTCATATCCAATGTCACACCCTGAAAATATAACGTGACCGGCATAGGATATATACACAAATATATATTCCTTAAGCCTCAATCAAAGAAACTCTAATATGATATTTTAATTTATTTGAAATAGGATTGAAATTCATTTCAACATTTTTATATAAATAAAAGATTTAGACTTCTTGTAAACATTTCGGTAAAACCTCCCCTCTCAATAAATCCTCCCAAAAACAAATCTACAACCATTTTACAAAAGCATTGGCAGATAACAAAATAGAAATAATAACAATGAAGACCCTAACTACAACTTATGTGAAACACCTGACATAAGAATTTACAAAATGTAATATATAAATTTAAATTTACATTAAAAGAAGTTTGATCTACAATTCTTCACTTCAACTAAATATTACAGCCCCTCAATGGTCAGCCAAAGGTACAATATCAACTAACATATCTGAGATTAAAAATAATAATTTTTAGTGAATAACGACCCAATCATAATATTAAAAAAATGAATAATGTACAATAGTTATGGAAATTAAAAAAAGTGATTCAATAAAATAAAATTAGTAAACTAGAAATAAAAATTTCTACACAACTTCAATATCATGAACTTTTAAGTCTTAAATGTCAAAGCAACTTTATCATTTAATCTTAATAAGACAAATATATTAAGTAAATAAATACCATTTAAAATTTAAAAGCCATTAGAGTATGAAATCATCAATTAATTAAAAATTTATATTTCTGAGGATTATCAGAACAATTCACAAAAGTAGACTGTGGGTAAGTAACCAAATGTGGTCAAAGCCACAAAACAAATATGGACACACAATCCACAAGGACAACTAACCAGACGTGGTTGATACCACGAAATAGATGTGGACACAGTCTATAAGAGTAACTAACCAGACGTGATTGATGCCACGAAACAGACGCATGTATGAGACCCATAAATAACAGACATACGAACAAAGCTCACGAAAATCAAACTAGCTAATCATTGACCAAAGTGCACCAAAGTTAACGAAATTGTTGTCAGCAACAAATGTTTTTTATAAAATCTCCTTCAAATCCATTTTTAAGTATGCAAAAAAATCATCACTTTCAAAATAAAATTTCCTCTTCTCAATATCAAACTCGCATGAACCATTTAAAACATCATTTCTTTCAAATATGAAAATTCACAACTAATGTTCCATAAACTTATTCTCCAATTTCCATGATTGTCTTTATTGAATAAAAATTTATAAAAGCATTTTCATCAATCCTATAAGTATATATCATGACAACTTCAAGAGCTAAAGAAATTTAATTAACAACAATAATCAGTGCTAGAGAAACATATATTAATAACTATAAATTGTTGAAAATAATATTTGATAAAAGAAAATTTGCAAAAATATATAAATTGATTGGAACATTATCCACTTACCTATAGTGTGCTCAAGTACTAGGATTCATTTCTTAGGACTTCAATCAACTCTTCCTCCCTCTAAGCACCTCATTCAATATAAAGAAAAATCTAATGGACTTACTCTAATTAAATAAATTAGCTTCCAATATTGGCCACGCTATAATCAATCGGGTTCCAAATCATTATAATTTAATCAACCAAATCTCAATTTCTTCAGACCTTTCAATACTTTGCATGTCCACCTTTTTATTCAACACTTTGATTATACTTTAACTTGTCCTTCCAACTCTTCTATAACACCTACAACTAAATTGTAATCAAGAGTATATACACACCATAAAATGTAATCAATCAAAAATGAAAGAATATTTTATTTTCTCCTTAATTTATATGCTTCACGATTCATTGCAGCAGCCAACTTTAACCACGACAATATACACATACATACACATAATTTTCATAGCTTCTAAGCGTCAATGTTACCACTCCATGTGTGTCCAATTTCATTGCTTTCATCATCAAGTACTTTATCAACACCCCAAAAGCTAACATAAGAACAAATAACTTGATCCTTAAATTATCAATCAAATGCCACTTCCAAAAATCCTCTAATTCTCTCTTCAACCTTCATTATAGAAAATAATTGTTTCCTATAATAATTTAATCAACAACCATTCACTCTCAAAATTCAAATAATTACATATTAATTTCATAATCAGATTTCCTTTTCAACCCTCAAAATAAATTTATAGATCAATAACACCCATACAAAACATGCTTCTCACAATAGCCAATAAAATTTCAGAAAAATACCAAAATTAAGCAAAACTTTTCTAGTGAGCATTTCATCAAATACCTTGTGAGCATTAATCTTTAAACTAATTCTAATATCTTCCATGTGAATTTCACTTCCCAAAAATTTATCAACATCAAATAATCAGATCAAGTTCAACCAAAACTCAAATCCATACCATCATCATTTTGTCCTTTATACTAAAACTTTAGCTTAAATCAATTTCCCTTTTTATATTCAAGCATATACAACAGCACAAAGCAAAAGGAATTTCACAGCCTTCACAGCCACAACCATTACAGCATGCACAAGAGGAGAGTTTGCAATCTTATTTACTTAATCACCCACTCATACTCAACAAAATCACGAAGAGTAAGGGCTTGAAGACTCACATCTCCAACAGCTATGACACGGCAGAGAAGAAGAGTCATGCTCACTTCCCATGCTTGACAATGGAGGTTTACAACAAGCACAGATCAAGGAAGAAAAAGATGAAATTCACCACAGAATAGGGGGGAAGGATGCACAATTTGCACCACAACGCTGTGGTTCTGGGTGGACGTCACAGCAGCAGCAAGCGGAACTCCTGTTCTCGTTAACAGCGTGTTGAATAGCAAAGGACAGAGGTGGCTGGATTAAGGATTCAAAGCTTCTGAGCAATAAATTTCTCTTGCTCTCAGACAGAAGAGAAGCTCCGACAACCACAACAGAGAAACGAACAAAAGAGAAGGAGCGAAGGACAGAAGGGAAGGAGAATATTTTCGGCGAGCTACATTACTGGCGACGAGTCGGACGATGGAGAGAAAAGTTGAGATGGCCAAAATTTCCAGATGAAGGGTTCAAAGTCCTCTCTCCCCGCTGAATCCCGATTGAAATGAAGCAGAGGGAAAAAGTATCATGTGGGGGCAGGGGTATATCGGTAAATTTGAAAGCTTAAATAGGCAGCATCGATATAAAATTTCTGCTGGAGTCTACTGGGATTCAAACTCGACACCTCTCAGCAAGATGTGGTTTCGCCAAGGTACGTAAAACCGGATTGATCATTGAATCGATCATGGTACTAAATCACGGGTTAGTGGTTCAATTAGGGTTGAACAAACCGGTGGCAAATCGATCATGATTAAAATAATACAATTTAAATAAAAAGACATTAATTATAAAAATATTCAATCAAATCCAACCACTCAAAAGTCTAACAGTAATAAAATACAACACTTTAAATATCTATCTTTATAATTACAACCCTTCAATCTCAAAAGTCTAAAGAAGAGATGGAGACAGAGCTAGAAAAGAGACAAAGATTGAGTTGGAGAAGAGACAGAGAGTTAGAGACTAAGCCGGAGAAGACATGGAGATAGTAGAGACGGAGATAGAGCTAGAGAAGAGATGCAGATAGAGCTGGAGCCTGGAGAAGAGACGGAGACTGAGCTAGAGAAAAGACGCTAATTAGGTTAGGGCGAGAGAGGAGAGACACAGATGAATGGCCAAATTGAATGCTATCTAGAAATCTGGATTGGACTTATCGTGCTTTGTCTCTAATTTTTCATTTTTTGACTTCAGTTTCACTTTTTTTTTGTTATCTTATTTCTGAACTTAGCGCTCTGGAAAATCAAAAATGAAAAAAAAATCCTCTAAAATGATGTCATTTTAGGGGCTTATTCTAAAAAATAATAACCCAGTCAACCCATCGGGTTATTCGGGTTATATCGGGTTGAACCCGAGTTGACTGGGTTACATCAGTTCATTCTCTCACCGATTCAGGAGTAAACCCAGACCGGACAAGGGACTGGGTCGTTGGTTTCTGGGTTGACCCGTCAGGTCCAGTTTGGGTTTTAATACCATGAATTTTGAGGCCTACCCCGTGGAGGAGCTGGTCTAGTGGACAGCAAACCCCATGGTATTGAAACCTGGACCGAACCGGCTGGGTCAACTCGAAAACCGGTGACCTGGTCCCTTGTCTGGTCTGGGTTTACTCCTGAACTGGTGAGGGAATGAACCGATATAACCCGGTATAACCCGAATAACCCGGTGGGTTGACTAGGTTAACCAGGTTATTATTTTTTCAGACAAAACCCAAAAACGACGTCGTTTTGGGGGATTTTTTTTCATTTTTGATTTTTCAGAGCACTGAGATCAGAAATAAGATAACAAAAAAAAGTGAAATTGAAGTCAACAAATGAAAAATTAGAGGCAAAGCACGCTAAGCGCAATCCAAATTTTCAGATAGCATTCAGTTTGGCCTTTCGTCTGTGTCTCTCCTCTCTCGCCCTAACCTAATCAGCGTCTCTTCTCTAGCTCAGTCTTCGTCTCTTCTCTAGGCTCCAGCTCTATCTCCATCTCTTATCTAGCTCTATCTCTATCTCTGCTATCTTTATGTCTTCTCCAACTTAGTCTCTAACTCTCTGTCTCTTCTTCAGCTTAATCTCCGTTTCTTCTCCAGCTCTGTCTCTATCTTTTCTTTAGACTTTTGAGATTGAAGGGTTGTAATTATAAGGATAGATATTTAAAGTGTTGTATTTTATTACTGTTAGACTTTTGAGTGGTTGGATTTGATTGAATGTTTTTATTTGGTCATCATCTAGGAAGTCATTTATTGGAAGAAAATTTAAAATGACCAATCATCTATATTAAATTGCTTTTTATATTTGTGAAATTATTCACAAAAATAATTTTACTTATTTATAATATCACCCTGAAATATTTTATTTTAGTTTAAGAGTTTGGTTGAGCAAGTCACCATTAATTAGTAGATCCAATCATATATGAACACAAGGGAATCCTAGAAGCGTAGCTATCAATTTTGGCATGACTACATTTCATGAGGAACTATATATTTGATTGAGTTTTACTCAAGAGTGGCCTTTCACAGTAAAAATTCAGAATTCATCAAGATGAAACAGTGAATAAAAAACAAGAAAGAAAGAAAATAAAAAGCATCAAATAGAAGGATCGAAATTGATGGACCGTTAACATCAACTAGAATGCCAAGTTATTGATGCTTTAAATTAAGGTATAGTTAAATAATCTAACAATTAGAATGAAGAGAAGAGATAGTGTGCAACACATAGCTCTTATTAATCAAGTTATAATTCATGAAAAATTTAACATGAAGGTACAAAGGTATTAGATTTATGAGACATCAAAAAGAATTTCACATGAAGTGATATCAGCATATATATGAGGAATCAGATTCGTATGAGACAGTTGTTTAACAATTTTTTTAGTACATCCTGATTTCAAGAGTGCATCTTTT